CCTGGGAATCCCAATCCTGATAGGGTTTTCTAGGATCTCCTCTGTGGTTCTTTGGTTCTAACCTTAGGGAGCATGGCTCAGAATTCCTGGGAATCCCAATCCTGGCAGGATTGTCTAGGATTTCCTTCATGGTCTTTTTGGTTCTAACCTTGGGGAGCTTGGCTCAGAATTCCTGGGAATCTCAATCCTGAGAGAGTTTTCTGGGATCCTCCACCATGGTTTTTTAGTTCTAACCTTAGGGAACTTGGCTCAGAATTCCTGGGAATCCCAGTCCTGGGAGGATTTTCTAGGATTTCCCCTGTGGATTTTTGGTTCTAACCTTAGGGAGCTTGGCTCAGGATTTCTGGGAATCAGGAAATCAGAATTCCTGGGAATCATTCCTGGGAATGGAAAAGAATCCAGAGAGGAATGTTTCAGTGCTGATGGCCATGGTGCTCCCTTCCTCATTAGGCTGGATGATTAATAAGCAAATATTTAATTAATTAGGTAATTGTATCCCACTAAAATTCCCAATCTATTCTAACAGGTGATTTCAACTTGGAACGAGTCATTCCATAGCTTTTTTTTTTTTTTTTATTTTCCCCTGGAAACACTGAAAAACACTGGTTTGTTTCCATATTATTCCACTTGACATCAGTAATTTCCAGAAAACCAGAAATTAGGGATGTGTTTTAGGGATTTTTTAAAGGATATTTTGTGATAATTTTTAGGGATATTTTGTGATGTCTAAAACCATTAGGAAAAAATCTGCAAATTCCTCTTGGAATCCATGGGTTGAAATTCCAGCTCCATTAGAGGAGCCCCTCAGTCCTGTGTTAATTAAGGAGTGGTTGATTAACAAAGACTCACGAGGGCAAAGCAAACTGGGAGCTGTCTCCAGGGTCCTCATTCCAGAAGGATTTGAATCTCTGGGAATGCTTTTAAAACCATTCAGTGTTTAGAAGCATTTTAAAGTAAAATGTGGTTTTTTTAAAACATTAAAATAAAATAAAAATAAAAAAATATTAATAGGTGCTTTTTCCCAAAGCCCATCCCAAAAAAATAAAAAATAAATCTGGGATTATTTCTCCCTCTGGAAGCTTCAGTGTGGAAAGATTTGAGGCAGAAATGAAGGGTTTAATATTTTTTTCCCCATTTTTTTGGTAGGTGGAACAGTTGCAACACTCCTGTGAGAAATGGAGACTTTGTGTATGTGTCCAATGTCTTATTCCCATTATTCCACTGCTCTTTTCCTTCAGTAGAAGCAGAAAATTCCCTGCTTTTCCTTGCTTTCCTAGGAAATCTAGGATGCTCTCCTTGCTTCTGTGTGCTTGTAGAAAAGCAATAGCTGCCACCAAAGCAATTAGTTGTTTTAATTAATTAAATAGCTGCTAATTAGAGCAGTAGCTGGAGTGTCACTAATCCTGGCTGTGTGTCCGTGTCCTGTATTCCCTCTTCCAGTTTTTAGATGGATAATTGACCTTTTCCCTTGGAATTTTGTCTGTTTTCCCTCCAAATTTTGATGTTTCCCCTCAGAATTTCTGGACATTTCCCCCTCAGATTTTTGGATTCTTTTTCCCTCAGAGTTTTTGACCATTTTTCCCTCAGCATTTTTCACCTTTTCCTCTCAGAATTTTGACCCTTTTCCCTTGGAATTTTGATGTTTTCCCCTCAG